CCAATGAAGGCTGCAGACATGCTGTGCTTATCAGTGACAAAAAGCACGAAACAGAGGTCCAGGAACTCCTGCTGATTACTTCTGACTGCCTAACATTTTTTTATCGTTCTGCTGTTAAGAGCAATGAACTTTTGCTTAAAATACTAATTGATAGGTAGGCATTTGTGTATGATGCCTATACCAAAACTGTTTTAGGTTGACAATAGTCAGTAGAATCTTTCATATCAATGACGAGATTTCTTCAATCACCGACCAGCTAATCGAGGATAGTCCCACTTTCAGGCTGCGTGAATTAGTCATCACATATGACCACTTCATTCTTGTGGTTGGGACGCATTTAGAGTATGAATTTCTTTTTAAGAGGCGTAGACCATGGATATACTTCGACTATAGGCTTTTATCGTTCACCTATTTCTTCTTTTATGCGTCTATAGATGACTAGTGGTTGAAGTAAAGGAAGATCCTAGCACCGTATGAATGAGTTTTCTCAGTATTCCCCAAACATGATGGAATCAGCAGTTATGCACATGTTGCAAAGCGGAAATGTAGGACTAGTTGATAAAGTTTTGAAGCTTTATCAAAAGTCAAGTGCAGGGTCTGTCTGTAGACAAAGAACTATATCTACTTTGTTGAGGCTTATGAGACGACTGGGCTGCTGAAACTTCAGTAGGTGAATCGGGATTCTGACCGGTAGCCTATTGGTTGAAAGTCAACTACGTAAAACAATAATTTACAGCTGCATAGATGAAGTTGGATTAGATTAGAGGCAAAAGAACGATAAACGGACGAAGATATGCTATCAGTGAAGGGAAGTTCTAAATTTTCTGTGGAGTTATCTGAAAAAGTGTAGGTTTCCTGTCTGCATCTGATGAGATTTAGGGTAATGTGACAAAATTTATAATATTAACGTAAACGCAACTTGCTTTTCCTTCCCTGTCCTAATCTTGCTTCTTTTTGTCCTGTAGTTCTACTATAACATTTGGTCCAATTATTTTCTCCTCCTGTCCTGACAGTTTTTACTCAATGTACTAATGTCGAACGTTTCTACTTTTATCGATATATAATTATGCCTGATTCTATGTTGTTCACTTTATCACCCCAGCAATAAGTAATATACTTGTTTTGACTTGAGTATTCAGACAAAGATTTTAAAAGTAAATGATGGCTACAAATGAAGTCTTCTGCAGTCACATTGTTTGTTCTTCCCTTTTTGTGATAAGTGATATAATGCCTTTCAAAAATTCCATCTCATCTCCGGATGTGTACAAAAGGTCGATTGACTTACACCAACTTGCACTGTTTATGGCGCCGGCGAAATATCCAGTTGCCCATTGAGGGTTGATTGTACTGCGAAGCAGTTTTGTTCGTCCTACAATATATGGCTTTGAAACTTACCGATAGAAAATGGGAAGCATAGGGAGGCTTCAAATGGTTGATCATTGTCACTTATGAAACATTGGCTGGATTCGGTGTGGCCTAAGACTTGCAGTCTTAGGTGAAAGGAAGAAATCGGTTAGTGAAGTATCAAATCTTCATCCACTAAGGGGTGGCTGGAATGTTCGGTGTTAACTGAAGTGGGACCAGGTTGGAAAATTATCGAATGTAGCTAAACTGAAACTTGACATCAGTCCATGAAGCGGCTAACTGTTTGTTTGAGTCATGCTAAAAGGCGCAGACTTCTCAGTGGGGATCAATAAGACAGTGGATAGTTGTGGTCGGAGACTCTAGAATATATGGCCAGGAATCGGTCTGATTGGTGTAAACGCGCCCGCCTCTGGTCATCTCCTCAATCATTATATCACTTCTCGTTCACTGCTTTATCCTCTCCTCTCTTCATTCTATGTTTTCCTACAGTTTTGACTGAATCTTTTTGGTTACCTTTAATTTCATTTTGTTGCCGTATTTCTTAATTTATCTGATGTGAGGTGTGACAACTTGAACCATTATGCAGTGGTGTCGTGCCGCATATAAATACTGACTGACAGGCGTATTTAATGTCAACTTGATTTGTGACCTAGTCTGATATTTATCTTAAAGTGCACATATAGTAAACTACACTCTAGTAGTGACTGTCGAAAAATGACAGCCATAAATAGTTTAGTTTACACGATGCACTAGTCAGGATTACTGATCATGCTTTTTGTTTGCATAAACGCACTGAATTAAGAGGTCAATATCGACTCAAAGACATGCCTTTTACTCGAAGTTAGAATTTCACATAGTTCACATTGTTAGACATAAAAGTGTAGGCAGGTGAATGTTTAGACTTTAGCAAGAAGTTGTACACTTTATAATTTACCTTTTTTATTTACCTTTTCACATTTTGTCTTTCATATGCATCCTGTATGGCATGATGGGACATCAAAGTTGTTACAGATATATGAAAAGAAAGATTCATTTCAAATACAAATAACAACCCTAATAGTATTTTTCAGTATGTATTCTCTTTTTCTTGATTTTGTTGTTTCGGCTTGATTGTTCATTGAACTGATGGACATGCTACTGAAATGAAATTAATGGCTACATCAGGAACTTCAAATACAACTGATATGATAACAATTATTAGTCGTCACAACTCGGTGACTTAATGGTTTAAAGTAATGAATGTGAAGTTGCAATCTCATTAGAAGTTAGGAACATTTAGTAAGAGTTAACGATAGGACGGAACCTGTGTTCTAAATGCTACTGTCATTTATCATTTAGTACCATCTAAGTTATATTGCAATTGGTTTTAGTGCAAGCTACTCTGTTGTTTCGATAACTAATTTTGTGGCATTCTTTCCCGGTACTATTCAAGATGTAATCATTCACTCAGAGTACCAACTGACAAGTTATTCCGGTCATATGGATTTATCCTTTTTAAGATGTCTCTGTGAATTTAATTTCTGCTAACTCCGTTTACATTCCTATACTTGATATTTTCACTTTCTACTTATTTTACGATAAGGTGTATTCTGCTGAAAATGTGTTCATGGTTAGTGCATAGTTGTTCATTTGGTAACTTTGATACTCACAAATTATAACACCATACTTTTGTCATCAATCCTAAGTGTTCACTGAGTTACCCATCGTTAGTTAGGTCAGTTTTTTGCTATCATAATGTAACTATCTGTATGTTGAACTCAGTAATCACGTTGTGACTTTCACGAATACATACCTTTTACTCAGTGCCCAACATTTACGATACTATAAGGTCAAATCTAAATATTGTTATTAACCGTATAGAGAATCCCGTGCTTCGTTTATTTAGATTGCCGTGATATCAGAACTTAATAAATGAAGGTCCGATATGAATTAACGCGAACACTAATAATCCCCCATTTTTTACATTGAAAAAAAATTTATAGCTAAAGATTGGATGATGGTTGTAGCTGCAAGAAAACTTCTAGAAGCTTAACACTTAAAGGATGCAACAGTATTATCTCACCTGAGTGGCTTCTGGAAGAGAGAGAATCATTTAACACCGGAAAGTGAGAACTGGCACCTGCCAGTCGTATTAACTAATAGCTGAGTTGAGTTGACGGTAGTTGGAAAATGCAAACCATCGGGATTCCACAGTAGCTGTAAATCAATATGTTCACTGTATAACTTAACTGTTATGTGCAAAATCCTATGTAGATTTGTTGTTTTATACTTCTGAGGAATTCTAAGCTAGGCAAGGATATATGCTGATTCAGTACCATTTGATTTTCCATGCCTTCTGAGCTAATATCAAGCGATGATGAAGACTATGCAGAGACGAGAATTTGTTTAGATGAACTATAATCATTTGTAAACCCACTGAGAACGACACAGTAGTATAACATCAACAGAAAAAACTTTATGGTTAAAATTTTTTAATCCCTTATAATCTTATAATATTTAAAGTCGAGACGGGGTTAACATATAATAGCTTTGGATACCAACTAATACAATCATTTTGCTAAAAGTATTTATATTGCTTAGAAGTAATTCATTTGTTGATGAAGTGTCCTGGGGTTATTTGTTAATCGTTCATGGGAGCTTGAAAAACATTTAACACACTTGATATTCACCCATTTTTTATTTTCTAGGTTTATTTAGAACAACTTATTCCGTTTCTTTTCATTCAACTACTAGTATTTGTAGTGAATTGAGTTTCAGCCGCTGTCTGTGCCTCAACTTCTCAAATGTCGAAATTTATCAATTGAATTGATCAATTTGTCAAGGCATCCGGCTTATTATTGCTTTGTGTGATTTGATATTGAATAGTGGTCGAATGTAGGTTGTGTTTCATCGTGTTGATAATAATTGAGTGTACCTAAAAGCCAGTTAGTTTTTTTAGCTCATCTTGAAAGTTACTTGTAACATTCACCTCTTCGAATGTCATAGCGGTATCAACAATAGCCGTCGTTGGTTCTATATACGTGTTAATGGTTGGTCACACCCGGAATTTCCTATTGTTGTTTATCTCAACTTAATCGATCATTAAGAAACTAAAAATTTCCATTTCTTACTGTAGTCTAAAGTACTACACATGCAGCTTCGTGAACTACTCTCCGAGACTACTCATAGGTTATGATGAATCCTAGCTTCCTAGTCACCTTGGAATTTATCAGTAAACTGTCCCTAGAACAGAGAAGAAATCTTCACAGAGGATAGTAGACTATGATCTCGCTAAATCATAGATTGGAAACATTTGGAGAGCATGGAATGTTGAATTCGATATGGATAGCTGTATGGCAACTCACTCAATGGGAAAATTAGTTGTTCTATGCTCTATTCTATATGGATAAGTGAGCTCCTCTAATTGACATCAATCTGTGATGAAAAACTCCTTGAACGGAAAACAGTTGTGAATAGATCTGTTATTACGGTATCCGTATGTGTACAAGATACGGGAATATCGTCTAAGAAGTACGTATAGACCATGTCAATACCACCAATGCTTATCTTTGTTGTAATCTTTTCTTAGCCTGATTTAACATATTGCTTCTTTATTTTTGTGATACTAATTTCTTTTTATTTTTACTACCTTTTAGGCACAAGGTCTGGGGCCAGTTACCATAGATACCATGTTGTCAACTACTCCTGGACAAACAATATCACCTAATTCATACACGCCATCATCATATGAACGACGGACTTGTCCACCACATGTTGATTATGGTCGTCAGTATCCTATATCATATCTTCAGTTAGCAGAGCAAGGTTTTACAGCGATAATGAGCAATGATGAGTTACACCCTAGTGCGACTGAAAATGTAGGTCATCGGTCTAGGTCATTAGCAAGATCTTTCTTCAGTCCAATCCATTCATCGTCATCAACGTCAAGTCATCAGCATGTATCACGACGTGATGTTGTTCGTTCGGTGACTAGTAGCTCAATACCATTTAGGCGTTTGAATGAGCTTGAACAAACACATGATGGTAGTCCAACAAAAGTACCAAATCATTATGACAATACTATTGCATCTAAATCTGTTGGTGCCAATACACCAATCTCATTAACTGGCCGACCAAAGCGTGATATGTATGTACGTCAGCGACAACTTTCTCCGGGATCATCTTCTCTTGGTTCCAGTGTTATGGGATATCGTCGATCAGAAAGGTTGAATGCATCTACACTACCACCAGGATTAGAGAATTTACGCCAGTCTACAGGTAAGCTAATTTTTCGACAATACTTAATTACTTGTCTTTGAATTAAAGAGTGGATTTTAAACTCGTAATCTAAGTGTTTGAACTCGCCTCAACCCAGCAGTGTTTGAGGAACGTCGTAGTATCAGCGTTTTCCAGTAAATTATATGGTTCATTACCCAGTAATTAAAATTTTATTCTAGTCGCATTCCAGTTCTCATTATTCATCTGCTTCTTGACTGATTTCCAGAAGTTTCAGTGAGAAGACGTGATCTATGAGGCTGGCCAAGCTTATTGTGAAGTCTAGTGGGCGTGGTGACACTACACTGTGACTGATTCTCAACCCAATGATTAAATGTTGATATACTTGGCAGGGGTCTGATGGTCCTGAACTAGACCTCCTAAGGGGTTGTGGCTGGGCGCTATTAACCAGTCGTGAATTGGGGCAGAAATGCCTAGGCGCCTAGTCTGACTATGGTTGCCCAACTGACCTTAGTCTATGGTGAAGACCACTTTTGAATCAGTCACTCCCTCACAAACCCCCATGGGGATCTGGATATGTTTATTAATTTGTATTCGTTTGGTTTATCACATGGCGAAGTTGTTTTATGAAGCACTGTCTTAGATATTGTTTCTTGAGAGACTCTAGCATGAATTACAATAATCATAATGAAATTTGTAGACATTTAGTTTCTCTTAAACTACTATGCCAAAAATATGCATATGTGGTTTTGCCACTTCTACGATATCGTTTTCAAGTATTTCGTAGGTTGTATTACAGATACATACTGACCTTGTCATATGAAGCTGTTGAGTGTCGATTTTCCATGTATTTACCTATTCACTTGAGTGTCTACTGTTTTTGTTTGATCATTCAAGCGCTTTTCAACCTATCCTGAATTGATGCCATCAAATGTTTGTATTGGTGTATGACTCACAACGGTGTGTATATCTGTTTGTTGCTATTGTATTCTGTTGTGGTAAAACTACTGGATCATTTTTCCATGGTAACGAAATGAGAGAAGGAAAAATCATTCATTTATATATTTATGTCATGTGAGAACATTTGAATACATGAAGTGAAAGGAAATGTCACAGGAGTATGAAATCCCAGACCGTTGAATCCCAATTCTGTAGCGATAAAGTAACGTCTTACAGCTAGACCGAACAATTCTAGATTCGATCCTCCACTGTGTTATGTGTACTGACTGTCGAAGAGTCTCATAGTAGGACGGATCAGTGTTTGTAGGTCTTTACTCTTTCTCCAGCTGTCTCATAATAAAGCTACTTGAAAACCAGCTACTTCACAAATTAGTCAGACAAATTATTGTAATAATGTGATATGGTTCTGTATGTATGTATATTCATGTTTAATGATCATTGCATATCGGTTAATAGTGAAGCTTTAGAGTTCTGCTTTGCATAAATACTCATATTATTACCACTTTGTACTGTTGAGAGAGAAGCCTGTTATGTTATGGTTTGATTCGTTATAGTCTAATTTTCTTTGATGTTATGTTTTCCTCTATACATACATCTTTAATCCTTGTCAATGAAAATAGATTAAGACTTCTGTGTCCCTATACGTCGAATTGCGGTGTACAGACATATTAGTAACATGAATTCCCTTTTCTAATAATAATACTTATGCTTGTCAAAAGTTAGCTGACTAACTGGTCAATGTGATTCGGTGATAAAAGTGACTTTCTATACTGAATAACCTTTTGCTCTGATTATTTAAGCTGTTGATCACTCAAGTGATAGTTCCGTAAGTCATTTGTTTGCATTTTGTCTGAAATCATATTTAGCTTCAACTTTTATCCGAATGCTTTTGTGTTTTCTAGCATTCTTCATGTTTCATCATGATAGATTTGTAATCAGTGATTCCTCTTACTTCTATCTCTCTTAGGTCGTTATTCTTGTCGATCTACTCCAAATGTAACTGGAAAACGTGGTACGTGTTCTGATTTCTTTTATTTATTGAACTGTCTGTTAAATATATAGTACTTGCTTTTATGTATGTATCTCCCTTGGTATGACTATTCTGCACATATTCATTCAAGGACCTTCATTGAGCTGATAAGCTATTACTAAATCGCGTTTAGTGAGTTGACTACTCCATTGCTGTTAGTCGTCATGCGATACTTTGTTGACTGATATCCGTACATGATTAAAAATAAAATACCCTCTATTATATACAACAGAGGCCAGAAATCTGTTAAATTTCCTCTAATATCAACTACTTTTCGACTCCATCATTCTGTTAATGTGATATAATTTACACTTTAGCTTCTCTCTTTTCCACTCAATCTGTTATTTCTTTGTTTTCTTGTTCTGTGTCTACCGAAAAATAAAGAACTTTATTTTCTGTAGGATTTCAAAAAGCCTCGTAGAGAGAACCTTACCACGACACCAAAAAAGATACTCGATATGAATCTCAACTTCAAAGGTGATTCTACCACTGACACTCTTAAAAGGAGGGTATCAAACGCTCTAAGGAGAACATTCTTTGCACCAACGCTGAGACTAGTATTCTCTTGTCGCCCAACAATTTCTAGCAACTCAAAGGAGAAAGTCTCACATCTGACCACTTCTATGTGCATATATCAATTCATTTGCTCTTATGGAACCAGGTACATAAGTCGTTCGATGCGACTGTTATTCAAAAGAGTTCAAAAAGACTATCCCGGCTGGTTACAAAAAAGTAACAATGGAGCGATAAGAAGTGCTACAATTGAACACATCGTGAACAAAAATCACCTTATCTCAAGAACTTTCTCGCTCAAAGTCATCTATAAAATGAACGGAAATCTCCCAGAGGCTGCATGTCTTTGTATTTTCTGTATACCTGAAGCTCATGACATGCCTATGGCGAAACCTGAGACTCTTCGCCGAAATATACTCGTTCTTTTTTCATTATTATAAGTGTAATACTTAGGTACTATGGCAGAATTTAATTCCATGTAAAACTTGTTTATTTGATTTACAATACACAGTGATATATATACTTGATGGCATTTCGAGCATACATTATCATTGCTCATAATCACACAACTTCCTACATTTGATTTTTATAGTTACGTCACCTCATATGGTTTATTTTTGTTGGCAGTAAAATCCTCCATATCTCTGATGTAGGTGTTGCATCATTTCTATTATATGTGTTGGGTAGGGATTGATCCGATGAACAAAGATTCAGTAATCAATCTCTCTCTCGACCTATTTATGTTGGGCTTGAGTACAATGACTCTATCCCACCCTGTTGTGTGGTTGTATGTTAATGCATGGAATGGAATAGCCGAGTTTTTTTCCCAGCTTATTGATCTTATTCTGGTCTGTCATTCTACATTCAGCTAAATTCCTGTTTCCAGCTATTCTGACTGACCCCGATTGGCTAGTTTGACCTATGTAATTGACCTCACTCACAGTTATTACATGGAATTTGATAGATTAGATTATTTTGCTTAATTGGTTCTGTTGGATCTTTAAGCCAGTTGACAAAGCTTATCTTTGAGTGAGTTTGTAGGTTTCACAATGCTACCCTAATACCGGCTTTGTTGAAGATCCTACATAAAGTTTCTGATGTGCCTTCCTTGTAAGGTGACAGAATGGAGGTTGTGAACTCCTTTCTACTTTTGTTGTTGTTATTATTCGTACTTGTGTTACTGTTATTTTTTGTTTCTTGTATGTTTGTACGAATTTTTGATAAACTGCGAAGGATAATTATTAACTATTAGTGCGCCATGAAGTAGATAATACTGTATCACTGTGTATTATAGATCAAATAAATAAATCCAATATGAAATTGTTCTTTTTTCATTTCAAAAAGTTCGCCTATTTTACAATGAGATTAGAAGTTAGTTTTCATTACAAACTTAATTCAGACTTCACTATCAACCGACTTTGACATTACAGTTAGCGGATTGTCATCACCTGTGAAGTCAGTTCAATTAAATTCATAGATCCAAAACTTTGATAACTTTCAATGGTGGTTGCTCATTACCATGGATTTCCGGAAGTGGAAGATTTCGGAGCAATACATTTTAATTACATGGTCGAATGGTAATGTCCTGTCTTCAGGATCTGATGCTTTTGAATACTACTTTTCATCCTAACGTCGGTGCACACTACTGTGTAGTCTCGAACTAAATTGAAACAATAATTGCTTAATGTTTTCTAGTTTCTATTTGTTCTCCAAATGTTGGAAACTGCCTTGAAAAAATTATTACGCATCAAGTGGTTACGAAATTTTTTCAGTGACTAGTTGTACAACTGACGAAATTGGGATTCAAAATTGCGTAGTAAATTTTTTAAACAAAAGATTAGGAAATTAATTCACTTGTAGATTAGTAGATGTAGAAAATCACTAATCAGGCTTGAAATATGACATTGTATCTAGGGGATTGAAAATGTAGTGATAATTCAGATATAAGAATTCATAAGACTTAACGACAGTACTACAATATACCAAGTCGAAATCAAAAATAATACCCACTTGATTAACAGTAGTCAAATAATCCTGAGTCAGTGTGAAAATGAGTTATGTGACATCTGGATTCTAGGAGGTTCATGGGAGGACAAGGGGTTGTGTCAGTCATTTCTGCACACAGAGTTTTTCCATCGGATCGAACTAAGTATGCAAACTCTGAGTATACTGTATTGTTTCAAGTTGCAAGTTCTTAATGATAAAATGAGAACCAATATCTTTCTATGCTATCCTTCGAGCAAAATATTAAGCTGCATAATCCTGGAGAGACTAGAAAATCCTCTGCATTCAAAATTACGACCGAAACAGGCTGGGTGGCTTCAAGAAGAACAAATCGTCTGCGGATCAAATTACATCGCAACGCTACACATTATCATCGAACAGGTCATTTAATTGCAGTCAACTGTCTACCTCAACTTGATCGACTTTGAGAAGGCCTTCGACAGCGTCAAACGAGAAGTAATTTGGCAGGCAGATGCTTCAACACTATAGATTTAGTGCCACAAACCTTTATCAACCTCTTTCAACAGCTATATGCTATGCCATATGATGCTACATGCCAAGTGATTCGCAATGGAAAGCTCAGTGATGCCTTTGAAGTGACGACGGGAAGGAGTAAGACAAGGCTGTCGCCTACTATCACCGATGATGTTCCTGATTGTGGTCGACTGGATTATGCGGCAAACCGTGAGGAGCTGTGAGAAGATGGGCATACGCTGTTTGACCGATGAAGAGACCCTAGAAGATTTGGATTTGCCAACGATGATGAATAATATCTAATATCTTGTAAAAATCGAAGATCTACAGGCAAAAGCTTACAAGTTGACAGAAGAGGCAGAGCAGCGAAGGAAGACGGGACTTCGTTCAAGTAAACGTAGAGAAGATACAAGTGGTGAAGATACACAATCAACCAAAACAAGCATAAATCACCATGAATGGGAGAAACCTAAAGGAAGTAGTCTCTTTCACCTACCAACTATATAGCATCGTTTCACCTACAGGCGGCACAGGTACGGATTATTATTTGTCCCTTGGGTTCCTAATGGAACATAGGGCTTCAGTAGCAGTCTCCAGTGCACTCTGTTCTCTGAAATCTCTTGAACCTGGCTCCACGACAGCCCACAAGCTCTCATTTCTTCCTCGCACGATCTCCTCCATGTCACATTTCAGCTGGAACACCCAACTCATCGCTTCCTATCTGGGTTCCACTTGAGCAACTGGCCTGACACTTGATGTCCCAGTCGGCCTTCTCAGTGTATGCCTATCCCAATTCGTCTCCACTTTCTTCCAGTGCATATTTGTTGAGTGATAGGTTGTTGGTTGGTTGGTTGCCAGTGAGCCAGAGTTCGTTGTTGCTTATTGTTAGTATTCTGGCGATCTGATGTTCAGTGTGAGTATGGATCGAGCGTAGGCGGCAGTTGTTGATGAATGTCTATAGTTTGCTGTGAATGCCTTTGCTAACGCGCCGGCAAGTCTCTGAGCCATACAGAGGCGCTGACTTGACCGACTTAGTGTTGAGAATGCGGATTTTGTTGACGCTTCATGGTGAGTGCAGGAGATCTCTACACTGGTTTCAGGTTAATGAAGGCGTATCTTGCTGTCTTTTCGATCCTGGTGGGCTTTGATGTCCTCGTCTGTGCCGTTTGTAGTTGAAACAGTGCTGCCTAGATGGGTGAAAGAGATTATTTCCTTTAAGTTTCTCCCAGATGGGGATGTCAAAACCAGCATCGGAAAGACAGCAGGATAGGCTTTCATTAATCTGAAATCAGTGTTGAGATCCACTGCACTTCACTGCACTCAGCATAAAGTGTGAACACGATCCGAATTTTCAACACTAATATCAGTAAAGTCAGTGCTACTATGTGATGCTTGAGAGACTTGGCGCGTTACGAAAAGCATTTCCGACAAACTACAGACAAACATCATGCTTAGCTGCCGCCTACGCTCATTCGATACTGGCACTGAAGATCAGATGGCAAGAATAAAAAGAATAAGCGACAAGGAACTCTTGGCTGACAATGAACCCACCAATAACCCATTGCCCCACAAACATGCAGGAGGAAGTGGAGATGGATTGTATTGAACATAGGCTGAGATCATTTCGGGGACATCAAGCACCAGACCAGACCCTCGAGTGTAAGCTAGTGGGGAAACGATGAGTTGGCCGTCCGAGGCGAAGGTGACATGGAGAAGATCGTGTGAGGAAGAAATGAAAGCTTGTGGGCAGTCGTGTAGCCAGGTTGAAAAGATTACAAAGAACAGGTTGGAATGCAGACGTGCTACTGAAGCCCTATGTCTCACTAGGAACGCAAGGGACAAATAATAATAATAATAATGCTATCCTTCAAAATATTGTTCTTCTGGCTTATCAAGAGTCAGTAGATGAGAGCTATCCGACTTTAATTTGAACTAAATTTTAATGTGGAATTTTGCAGGGATTGATTGATTTAGTATCGTTGTTCATCACAGACTGACGTCATCTGGTGAACCACTGAAAAGCTGGGATCACTGGACAGCTATGTTATCCTAGTATGGTATCCCTTAGCAGTACAAAACAGATGAGTTTAACGTTTACAACTGAATCGCTTACCGAACGTTAAAATCATTTTTCTTTCAAGTAATGAAATACGAAGAATAGTCCTACTTAGTTTTGACTACTGGGGTTTTGTTCAAGTAATATATTTCGTGTATATTTTTTGCGTGTTCATCATTCCTTGTTGTTGAAAGGGTGGTGATGTAAGTACTTAATAAATTTTCTCTCATTTTTCCACAATATACTATGAAAAGAAGGATATTAATCACTTTTAAGGGGATAGTAGTAATGGTAGGAAACTTTCTTTCAAGACGATTGTTATTATTATTATTATTATCTATTTTTGCATGAATGGCAATAAAATTCAGTAGCAATTCACCTGCACGAAGATTCACTCACTCATCCATCCACTTAGTCATTCAGCTTTTTTATGTGGCTTTTCTATACGCAATAATAATAATAATAATAATAGTAATGATAATAATAATAATAATAATTGGAAGTTCTGTTAGTGTAGGAGTACTGCGTATATTTAGCACGGAATATGTTCACTTATCTGCTGTTGCTTATGCCTATACAAATCATACACATACACACATAGGTAGTCTTCATTCGACCTCGAAAACAGTCAATAAATCAATGTTTGACTCTTCTTACCCACTTGAACTAGCCTCCAATCATCATCTGAGTATGCCTCACTAGTCTGTTCCTTTATTTACCTGTTCAACGAACTGGTGGTTTACGATAGTGTGTACGTGAAGGAGTAGGGTGAGCTGGTGATATATATATATATATATATATATATATATATATATATATATATATATATACTTACTTGGTATTCGTAACAGAAAATGAAGGAAAAATGAAAGAACAGTAAAATGAATTGATGATCAGTCCATATAGTTTTTATAATGCCCGTTTTATCCTGCCCTACTCTCTACTAATTTTCTTTCCTTTACTAACTATCTTTTGACGTTTTTCACTTAAATTGCTTTCATCTTTTCACCTCTCTTACTGGGATCTAATTCCTATCGTTTCATTACATTGCATTATAAAGTTACTTCGTTTGTGTATAGTAGGATATATTAACACTATCATTACTGTCATATATATAATGGCGAGAATGTATGATTTAATTTATGTATATGAATGAGTTGTTTTCTCTGTGCATTTAACTGTGTGCTTGTGCGTGTGCGTGCGTGCATGCGTGCATGCAATATCATGTCTACTAATTTCTTTACTTATTCAACTTTTCTTTCTCTCATTTGATTATCTGAGATAGCTGTAGTTTATTTTTCTTTTGATTCCATTATTTTGCCCCCCTCTCTCTCTCTGTCTCCATAATTTAGTCATGCATGAATCAGTACAGATTCATGATTTCCAAAATTTGAAATTTATTTATTACTTATATGTATAAGGACTCAATGATAATAATAACAACATTGATACTACTACTATTACCACCAATAATAATAATAATATTCTACTGATAAAGATGTTTCTTTATTAAAATAATTGTTTACTACTTTTGTTATTATTATTGCTCTTGTCGAAAATTGAGTACAATATAAACTATGAAGTGGCTGGATAATTAATTGGTTGATTAGTTCGTCAGATGGTCAGTTGTTGACGCTAAGTGTCTTTATCAAATAGTATTTATTTATTCTACTTGACTGTATGAGATTTTATCTACCTTTGAAAAGGGGTTGGTGCCTTGCAAAGTATGTTGAATTTGGGCCTAGTTTTATGCCAAGCGGTCAGTATGAAATACAATCTATCTTTTATCTTGTCGATAAAGTACTGGTTGAACTGAATAGGTAGCATCTGTAGTTCATTGAACTAAGCGGTTTACTTTCAATCAATATGCTACTGATCCGAAAGTCGCCGTTTCCATCCATCTATACGAATACAAACTTATGCGACATGTGGCGCCACTGTGATATCCGATTGTCTGTTAAGGGTCGCATGTACTGCACAGCAGTCCGCTCTGTTCTACTGTGTGGCTATGAAACATGGTCATTGAAGGTGGGAGACATGAGAAGGCTTCAAGTGTTTGATCACCGTTGGCTTCGTAGTATCGACCGTATTCCGTGGTGTCACCACGTGAGTAATGCAGAAGTAAGGCGTGGAGTTTTAGTGAGAAGAGGAAGGTCAATTGATGAGATTGTGAATGTTCATGGACTGAGATGACTGATTGTGACATGTGTTACGTATGCCCAGTCACCGATTGCCTCTTCACACAATGTTGGATGAAGTAGGTTCAGGTTGGGAAAAGGTCTGAGGTGGCCAGACTGAAACCTGGTACCAATGTATGAAGTGTTTGACTGTTGGTTTGAGCCATGTGGTGCTATGCATACTGGGTGGTTTGGGTTCGGTGGACAAGAGGGATGGGTGGTTGTAGGCTGTATGTGATGACATGGCTGAGAAGCGATGTCAGTGGTGCAGATGTATCCACATATTCTCCTTATGTTGACGTTATACCGAATCTCACCATTTTCTCATTCTTCCTTTTCCTCTTTTAGTAGTTTATGTGTCTTTTGAGTGAGTTTTCTTTTCTTCATCTTCGACTTCATTGGCGTTTTACTTGATGTGGTGATATGCGGTGTGTCGACTCGGACCGTTATGCAGTAATGCCTGATCCTATGTTGATTTGGATGGATAGCAACAAATTGTAAATAGCTGCTTAATTGTAACCGAAATGTATCAACACTGAACAATGAAGCATAGGTCTGTATGCTTTGTTTTTGCATTGAATTTACTTTCAGGTACATTGAAACGAATAGTTTTTGCTAAGGTCGAACTGGTCATCAACTCAGGTTTCTCCTTTAAAAGCGCTGCGTGATGAAAGTATGATAGAAGGGCTGTTTAAGAGAATGTTAATCAATCATGTTGATTCGCTAACAACACTATACAATGTATGTAATTTCCTTTTCCATTCAAATAAACTAATAGTTATCTTCAAGTAGTTTTAGTCTACCCTTCGAAAAGAAACAATTGAAATCAGTCAGTCATTGCGTAGTGGTTTGGGTTGCTACACTTTACAATGAATCCTGATACAAGTCAACAAACTGAAAGATAAGGGAATAGTAATAATATGTAAAATGTTATGGGGATTTATAAAACGAGAACAAGAAATGTTAGCGAAAATAACGGTATGTAATACGACATTTAACATGCTTATACATTGGATGGATGTATCTATGCCAATGAGCTTGATTTTTCGTATCACTTAGAGTCCCCAATTTTCAATTCCTGTTATCACATAGATCTCAACCACTAGACTTGTATTTCCCGTCATGACCCAAATCAACTGTCAGAAACTTGATGGACTGGTTCCGTGTCTTGTTCTGACCAATTTACGCTTTCTTTGGAGTAGGTTGTGACTAGGCATGTGTAAAACATATCTTAGCCACTATAATTGATGAATTATGCAATCTCATCAACTGACTGAATTCTTTCACCTGAAACTACGTCTAAGCTATGTACCATTTACTTGGTGGTTATACCAAATACTACGGTTTTCGTACACCTGGAATACTTTAATACTTTTCACGGTACTTCTGTGGAAAGCCCAACACTAATCTTCTTATGGGTAGCATGCGCTGAACAGTTGATAAATACACCGATTCCTTAAGATGGATCTGTATATGTCATTTGTGCTATAGGTGGTGTAAGCTAACCTATTTTATCCATGCAGAGATTCTTCTACAGCTAACACACCATGACTAAACTGACTTCCAGAGTAAAGGAGGCGGTGAATACGGTTTACTCTTTCACTTTTAATTGTCAGATGAGGTAGTACTGAAGCAGCAACTTTCATTGTGGCGGTGAGAAATATTTCCTGAATGTTTTCAAATTGCCACTCAGTGTCCTGGCTTAATAGGACTTATCTGAATTTCATATGCTTTAAGTTGGCTAATGAAGCTCCCATAGGCGATCACACGAAGTGAGAAGAATCTCCATAAGCATATTTATGACGAAGTTCAATGAAGTTAAAGATAGTGGATGTCCTTGACTCTGGTCACTCAACAATGATGACTCATTTGATACATTTTCGTAGACCACTAAATGATCTACAATATTTAAGTATAATTATCACTCCTACTCTGTTATGAGTTACGAATGCTTGCTGGCATTAATAACTAGTTATGCTTTACATCTCTTTACGTGCATACCGGTTCCTAATCCCACATTTGTCTGTTTATTTATGCTAGAAATACTTTTTTCACTCCCTTTGTTCATTCATTCTCTTTTTTTCCTTTACTTTTCATATCATATGATGGTCTGTCAACGTTGTATTCAATTCTAAAGGAATGACTCAGTTAGGTGAGTTCAACTGAATGACTTATATTCTTTGAATTTATTATCATAGTTTCTACCTGATATATATTTTCGTTCTTACTATTGCTATTTTTCCCCTGTCATATTCATGTCGATTAGCTGTGTTGTTCGTTTGCTTATTCACCTGTTTCATTCCACAGCTTAACGTTTATTTTAGTGTCATTGAACATTCATTTATTCGTCATTGTTTTAATTTTAATTGTTGTCATTATTCAAATGTTAGTCACTCAATTCATATTTGATTGGTTATTTTGAGAACAGGCAATAACTGAAATCTGATTGGTTGATTATTTTTCGTCTGCATGAAATGTATTAGTCGACTTCATGCTTATTGGTCAGTTGTTTATTCCCCTGGAAATATTCCCTGCCAAAAATTACAAGTAATTGAAAGTTAGTCAAGTTGGTCTCCAGACCACATCATCTTTATAAGGGTGATGTCAACAACCTATCACTGTTCATGTCATTTGCCGCAGATATCATCGATCGTACCGAAATTATATCAGTCTGTAATTCGTATCAAAACGTATCCTGAACTGTTTGGATGCAACTTCCACCTCCACACAAGAGAATCGATCGCCTTGAGATCAGATCAATGTGATTTCGATAGCGAGAATTATTAATCGAACTTAAGGATTGTAAACCAATCTTGTTTGGATTAAAAACGTACCAAGTTGACATTACTAAACGCAGTCTGTAGTTGTGACTTGGTGATTTGCAATCAAAATGTTGCTGAAACCAGAGTTGGATAGTTGTAACGCTAATGACCGATGATGAATTTTGATCCAGTCCCTGAAGCTTGTGAATAGTCTTTTGTTTTCCACTGTGTAATCAAATGAGTATTGTATCTATAATGAGTTTTCCATTAGGTAGTTGGTTGGAGACAGTCAACAGGAAACCCTAGACCTAGATTTCGCACTTGTTGGCATTTTTCAACAAGGGCCATCTGATACGCTGGAGGAACGAATATCCTCCGTGGGACTCGAACCCGCGTCACCCAGTGTTGCCCGATCGATAGCTGCTACATTGACGTGGTGGTCGTGCTTGCATATCACAGTGACCCAACGAGCTATGATGGTGGAACACTTGTCCCCTTGAGGCCCTACCATACCAGAAAGGTCTGTTGGATAGTAGTTAAACGAAAAGCAGTTACCATTGTGGTGTAAATTACTACACTATGATAGGGGGCTGAGGACGAAGTCGTACTGCTGCTAGCTGGATGGGGTGTGACAGCAGTAAGGTGTTTCCCTTGAATGACTAGCAGTGCGATGTTGATGCTGCCTTCTCAGTGGAAGAGGGGGAGTTAGAAAAGGTCGATCCCAAAAACAACACACTCCACCATGCCCCACAGTCTGCCGGGCCGGTGGTGTTGGTTCACTTGTCGTTTCCTTTCGACCATCTGGCTCCAAAAATACAAAAGTTCAAAATAATCATACTCAAAAGGCTTCGTGTGATAGGCCTCAAGCAGATGTCTGATGGGCTCTGTGGTCACACAAATCTCTTTCAGGTACCTTAAGAAGAAATAGCCTTCCATGGTGTGGGCAACCGGGAAGTGTCAACCGCCCTCACAACTCAGCACTCAAGTTTCTTCTGTCTGCTATCCACCTCCTCCATCATTACCTTCTGATCTTCCTTCACGTCTCTCAATTAACGATGCTGCGTCATGTTCAATTTCTCCTACCTCTGCAGCCTTTGACAATGATCTGAGTCCACAGAACAGCATCACTGGTCTCCTTAAACCACGCTCCAAATTACATATTGGAGCCCTCAATGTCCGCACCCTCCGTCAAATTGGTCAACAGGCTTCGTTAGCAAAGACTCTAGCAACTCGGGCCATGGATGTGTGCTGTGTTTGTGAGACACGCATATAGGGCAGAAAACTCACTACTAGACTGTATCCCAGTTGATAGTCGCCTCTGCGCTATGAGGCTGAACGGCACAGTAAGAACTAAAAGGAATAGTGAGACTCGCCGTTGTCTCTTTGTAATCTCTGCTTACTCACCCACTGACTGCAGCTGGGATGAAGTGAAGGACGAGTTCTACTGTAAACTGTCTAACCTCCTCTCGAAAGCCAAACGTTCGGACATGGTGGTTGTTGCAGGTGATTTTAATGCACAGGTGGGTGAACTAAGTGAGGCAGAAAGGCACTTAGGTAGGACTTTCGATGTCCCGGCTGAACGAACATTTAACGATGATCGCTTACTACAACTGTGCTCAGATAATCGCCTTTTTTTAGCTAGCACAAATTTCAGGCATAAAGAAAGACACTATCTGACCTGACGTTCATCGAGCTCAACTCAGCGATGGACACAGATAGACCACATTGTTATTAGTCATCGCTGGAGAGGATCGGTGGGAGACTGCCTCTCTTTCTGGAGTACATGTCTGGATAGTGACCACGCGTTGGTCCGAGCGCGTATATGCCTGCGTCTCAATGGACGTAGAAAAAATTCGGCAACAAAACCACTACGAGTGCTGCTGGAAAACGGAAACACCAAAGCCGTGTTCAGTGAGAAGTGTGCTAGGCTGTTTTCGGAACAGAGTTGTGCTCATTCAGTGATATCCGCCAAGGGTGCCCACTCTCTCCATGCTCATTCAGTTTTTTCATAGATATTCTTTTATGGAGGTCTCCCTTTCTTCACTTCACTACGCAGAGGTTGATCCAATCGCAGGTGAATTTTCATTAGACCTAGAGTATGCCAATGACAGTCCTGTTAGGTGAAGACGCTGCCAAGATGCAGAGTCATCTGAACACTTTGAGTGGGGATTTGAGAACTTTTGGCATGCGTTTCTCACCACCCAAATGCAAATTTTCGCTCCAGCATTGGTCTTCAATGGTGCCCCACTGCGACTAACAATAGAGAGGGAAGTGATTGAGTGTGTCGACCACTTCATTTACTTGGGAAGTAGGATGAGCCCTGGTGGCTTAGTGGCCGATGAAGTCTCAGCACGAATACCAAAGGCTCGGCTTGCTCTTGCCAACTTACTGGACCTGTGGCGCCACTGTGATATCCGATTGTCTGTTAAGGGTCGCGTGTACTGCACAGCAGTCCGCTCTGTTCTACTGTGTGGCTATGAAACATGGTCATTGAAGGTGGGAGACATGAGAAGGCTTCAAGTGTTTGATCACCGTTGGCTTCGTAGTATCGACCGTATTCCATGGTGTCACCACGTGAGTAATGCAGAAGTAAGGCGTGGAGTTTTAGTGAGAAGATGAAGGTCAATTGATGAGGTTGTGAATGTTCATCGACTGAGATGACTGATTGTGACATGTGTTACGTATGCTCAGTCACCGATTGCCTCTTCACACAATGTTGTCCGAAGTAGGTTCAGGTTGGGAAAAGGTCTGAGGTGGCCAGACTGAAACATGGTACCAATGTATGAAGTGTTTGACTGTTGGTTTGAGCCATGTGGTGCTATGCATACTGGGTGGTTTGGGTTCGGTGGACAAGAGGGATGGGTGGTTGTAGGCTGTATGTGATGACATGGCTGAGAAGCGATGTCAGTGGTGCAGATGTATCCACATATTCTCCTTATGTTGACGTTATACCGAATCTCACCATTTTCTCATTCTTCCTTTCCCTCTTTTAGTAGTTTATGTGTCTTTTGAGTGAGTTTTCTTTTCTTCATCTTCGACTTCATTGGCATTTTACTTGATGTGGTGATATGTGGTGTGTCGACTCGGACCGTTATGCAGTAATGCCTGATCCTATGTTGATTTGAATGGATGGATGGTCTGGGCTGTAGATTCACTTATAGTTCTTTTGATTTAAACAAGGCTTTCGTTGAATATTACTTAACCACATGTGTAGTTAGGCAGTAGCAATATTATTCTAATTCTGTTTTTTTGAATTTCTACTGTTAGGCGGGTTTTAAAAATAGTTATACTAGAGTATGTTGTCATGGTATCAATTGGCATTTTACTGATATGTTTTTTATTTTTTTCAAATTTTGGTCTTAAGTAATTGAGTTATCGATCAGCAGTCATATTGTTGGCGGTTTTTTTTATTGAGTTCCTTCTTAGTAGTTTGAGAGTGAATGGTTGTTTGTGAATGTCAGCTGCGAAAGATACTTATGGGGAAGTGTAGAGTATGAAGTCTGGCTTTAGTTTGATTGCCTGATACCGACTTCAACAAATAATAATGGGAGCTTAAATAAAGCGAGGACAACACCTTTAGCAGAATACTATGAGTCCATTTTATTTCGTTATTTTCTCACCAGCTGCTTAAACGTAAAACAATTTTAACATCAATTTATACTTAATATTTGGATGTGATTAACTGAAGACACACGAAGTGAGTGCATATATATGGAGAACCAAGCTTACCAGTATGTAGTAGGATTAGACGAGTACTCGAGAGCGGAAGGTGGATAAGAGGGGGAGACAGTTGTATTCAGTATACCAAGAAAGGTTATACAAAACGGGTGAAAGCTCATAGGAGCTAATGTGAGTCAAATTAAAGTAGTTAGGTCATAGGAGCGAAATGTGAGATAACAAAGAGAAACCAGCTTGTATGAATCGACAATGGTATGTAAAGAACATGATGATTGAAATAGTGGAGAATATTTGTAGCTCAGACAGGTGGTCTTTGTTGTACTGTGTGTATATGTGTGAGTATTGTCTGACAACATACTTCCAGTTCAATGGCAAGATATACAAACCGATGAAAGGAACTCTAATGGGATTACCGATGTCCGGACTAATCGCTGAAGCAGTAATTCAGAGACTGAAAGCCATTATTCTACCTGTGATCAAACCAAAAATTTGGATTCTCTGTGTGGACGACACTTTTGTCATCATTAAAAAAGATGATATAGAGAACATTCAAAGTTTGATCATTAACGTTTTCAATGACATCAAATTCACGATAGAGAAGGAGTCAAACAACCAACTACCATTCCTGAATGTTTTGGTCAGTAGGAAAAATGCTGGAAAGCTGGAAACCTAAGTGTACAGGAAGCCATCACACGCTGACCAATCCTCAACT